TTTAGGCTATTAAAACAGGTAGCTAGTAGTTTAATAATGTATAGCATCTGCTACTAAATACAAAGTCTCGTACAAAACCTGGGTGAGAGTAAAATAGTGTGAATCTTTGACCTCATAGGACTGTCTAGGTCTGATAACGTTTTTCACAACAGCAGAAGAATACTGAAGATCTAAATTCAGTTCCAAGACTGGAAAGAAAAGGGGGAAATACTCCCCAAGGAAAACCATTTAACAAAATACAGCTGTGAGCAGTTCTGTGAGGCTCTGTCTTGAATGCAGGGCGAGACTTGCTCCCCTGGCAGTGCTCACTCCCTCTTGTCTGGACTTAGTGGAAGAGGTCCAGCACATCTCAGAGGATGCAGGAGATCCAGGCTTGGCAAGGCCATCATCAGCTCACTCATAGAGCCAGTGTCTCAATGGAGGTAAATATAATAATTTTGCTATTTTTATCCTTGATGTGTTTTTGAATGTCTCTCAGCCAAGCCTGAGAAATAATATATTCTGAGTTATATCAATATAAGTTTTAAATTATTTTGAGGTATTTAAATTATACTAATACAGTGGGAAAAGTCTAAAAAACTTTTTACCCATGCAATAATCATTCTCATAATAAAGCCCCACATGCAACAATTCATCAAGTTAAAAACTGGTATGAATCAAAGTTTCAATTCCAAAATATGACTGATTCATATCAAAAGTCTTGTTTTAAAAAGGTCAACTTCATGCCGAAGAGGTAAGAAGAAAAAATTCACATGGAAATTTTCATTTGGTGCCTTGAGTATATTCTTCAAGTGGCTCCGCGTCTGCAAAGTGTCGACAGTCACTTGAGCTTGAAGAGAACTCACGCGTTGTCTTGACACATCCTCTTACACTGTGAATCTCACACCAAATGAGCAGGAGCTGTGTTTCCCCTCATCTGTATTTCTGTTTTTAGTGAAGAAGATTAGCCCTGAGCTCTCATCTGATGCCAATCCTCCTCTTTTGGCTGAAGAAAACTGTCCCAGGGCAAACGTCTGTGCTCATCTTCCTCTACCTTATATGGGACGCCGCCACAGCATGGCCTGACACGTGGCGTGCAGGCCCGCGCCCGGGGTTCCGACCCTGCTAAACCCGGGCCGCCGAAGCGGAGCGTGCAAATGTAACCACTACACCACCAGGTGGGCCCCCCTCATCTGTATTTTTTACTAAAAAGCTATAAAAACCTTTTTCAAGGCAAGACTGGTTTTAAACTAAGATTTATATCTTAGAATCTTAACTGAGACGATCACTCGGTTGTTGTTCACTTTTCTAAAGGCAAACTTGATGCCTATTTTCTCCCAGCTTGTTTCCAAAATCAGAATCTATCCGACGCCACATAAAAGGAAGCATTTGCCAAGACAGTTTTCTTAATTGCTCTAAAATGCAATGTTTTGAGGACGAGTAGAATATCAGCCATTTAGTACTCATTTAGCACTCCAGCCTAAGCTCTGTGCGGAAAAAGAAGGTTGGTTAACTGATTTTACTGTTAGGTGAGTGAGATGGGAAAGAATTTTAATTGTTAAATCTATTATTTAAATTATTTTATTTATAATAAAAATATATTTTATTATATAATAAATTTATATATGTAACATATATTACACATAAATTCTACATTTATACAAAATATATTTATAATAATTTAAAATAGAAAACGTTTTATTAATATCTAATAAAATTATTTATTAAATATTTAAATTATATTATATAATAATTTAAAATTCAATATAGTCCACGCCTTAGGTCTAGGACAACATCAGAATGAGTGTTTATGCACCTGAGCCCAGGCAGTGTGCTCCTTCCACACTACTGAGGCTTCCACAGCACACCTTCTGGTCTCTCTACGTGTATCCTGGTCTCTGATGGATGAACTCCAAGACAGTTCTAGATCAGTGTGTCCACCTCCACCATATTCACCCAAAACAGGGAGAGACTACGGGAAGCTATATTTCAAAGATTTTCTGAGATTTCAGAGACTGTCAATGTCTATAAGGACAGCCTGTGTGTGCACATAAGGAAAGGATGTGGGAAGATTCAAGCATGATGTAGACAGTGGTTTCCAGGCCTGGCTGGTATCAGAATTGCTCAGATAGCCTTGGAAAACCCTGCATCTGTTGACCTATGCTGGGTGAACAAAATGAGACTCTGGGATGAACAAGCATGGCTCTCTCTAGGCTAAAGTTTAGTTTTTACTTTTCCTAATGATATTATTGTGTTAATCATTTACTAGTGCATACGAAGGAAGTTCCTCTTATATCAGTGTGTAGTTGAAGGTCTGAGATCTGAGATTTCGCTTAACTTCCTTTCACAATTCCCTGATCTTTTTCCGTAAGCAAATTTATCTTTGTATTATAACTTTCAGTGACAAATTTTTTAATTGGTATATTCCAATTGAGTTTATGTTGTTACATTTAAAAGGTTTATTTCATAACTCCTGGTAGCACATTTATGAAAGGAGTAATTTTTCTCCCTAATTTATATTAAGAAGAGATGCACATTAAAAATTTATCAATATGTCTTTCCATTTAAAAATTTAAATGACAATTATTGGTGTTCGTCATTAAAGTGTGAAACAGAATATCTGTACTCATCTTGTTTGATAGCTTATTCCATTCACAATTTTTATTTTTTTCTCTCCATTATAAAAACTTCTTTTGGTTTCCACATGTAACTCAAAGCAAAGCCTGTAAAATTGCAGCTTTATTCTCTGAACTATTTCAGAGCTCTCTGATTGATTTTTTAGAGTATTTTACATGACTACACCCTCTAGAACTGTAATAATAGCTAAAATTTATGAGCAATTCCTATGTGCCAAGAACAGTGTCAAATACTTGATCTAAATTATCTTATTTTATCTCCATTTCACAAATAAGGATCTCAGCCTTGGGAGTTGAAGTAACTGCCTAAACTAATACAGTCGGCTTATAAATTTTGGAGCCTATGAGGGTAAAAGCCACTTCTAGAAGCATATATTCACAAGTGCTTTAAGACACTTACAGGCAATGGACTGAAGTATGCAATATTTAGCATTGATTTATTCATTAATATAATTTTTTTAATGAACACAGAATTTAAATCAACGAAAGTGAGGTGTGCAGGGTCCTAGCAAGACTCAATGTTATATACTCACATGTCAACTGGTACCATAGACCATACCTCATGCATTTATTCCCTGTGGCAAGTGACTGAATTAAAAGTCACAGATTTGAATAATGGCTCTTATAGTAGACTACCTGTTGCCTAGTAGGCTCATATGTGTTCATTATATTCAATAAGACCCTATCCTCTTACTGAACAGGGTCAGGAGAGAGATTCATACATACTTTTGGACAATCTTGTTTAAAATCGTTTTCCTGGAGGGGAATGGAGAAATTTAGCTATAAATTAAAATATCCAGTTCAGCAGAACCATTTGGGTTGCATGTTCTACCCCACTTTACTTAGAAGACACATCTAAGAAACGCACTATCTTCTCATGGCCATGCCAGTTTTCCCATTTTGATTATTTGCTGAGTGATACATCATTCTTTTTTGGAAACTTTTTCTCAGGGCTCTAACACTGAGCTCTAAACTCCTGATAAGTTTAAAACGAAGATTACTTAGGGTCTGCCCTTGTAAAACAGAGGTATGCAATAAAAAATACATTCCATCTCAAAGTCGTCGAGAGAACAGCAAATGCTGGAGAGAAACTGTGTTAAGTGAGGCATGAAGAGAAGCTATTTCAGCCCCCTTGACTTGAGCGCACGACAGATCGGCATTCAAAATAAAAGACTTCTTCAGGCATCAGGATTTCTAACAATAGGAGCTGATGATCAAAGAAGGAGAGAAGCACGCTCTAACGATTTTTTTGGACTAGATCAACTTGACCTTTCATTTTTCACGAAGTCCTCCAATAAATGCATCTACTACATTTTTCTCTCCCAGCATCCATAACCATTATTTTGATTCTTGTGATTCAAAGGGCTTCCTGAAACACTTTTATGAGGAGCAGAAGGGGAGAAGGAACTACGTTACTCAAGGAGTGACAGAAAGATTCAAAGGCCGCAAAGTAATAAAAGAAAACTGATGTGGTCATTTAAAAATCTAACCTCATCGCATGTCTCTGGTCATTAAGCATGAGTATAGTGACTGCCTATATGTAACTTTTTTTCTCATCAAATGCAGCATGATTTCCTCTAAGCTAGACAGCATATCTTCCAACATTTTTGCTACTTTACAACATCAACCTTAATGCTGAGCATGCGAAAGTACCTATTACATTTTAATGTATTAGCCAAAGTATTATTTGATAGATCAGTAAAAACAACTTTGCTGATTCTTAATTAGTTAAATGCTGAAAATAGTACATGTGTATTCTCGTCAATAATACATTATTATTAGAACATGTGTTGTGACTCAGAATGGTACCATCAGAGAAGCCAGATGTTCATCTTACTGAACCTGCTTCAGGGTTCCTCAGCTTTGTGTTCAGAGACACAGTCAGTGTGAGTGGAGTGGAGAAAAAAAAGTGAAATGAGGGAAAAGGAGAAAAGGTAGATGTAGATTTTGGAGACAGAAACAGAGAAAAAGACAGAAGAAATAATGAGTAGAGTAGACTGAAAGGCAACAATACAAAAATGAGTAGACAGACTAGGAATAGAGAAGCTGTGGTTCAGAGGAATTTTTAAAACCAATCTGAGCATATCTTTACATGATAAGAATATAGATAATCACTGTGCACCTTTTGGGCTTATACAGAGGATACAGGATTTCATATACATTCATTAGTTGAATTTCTGAGGTCACAAAACAGCCTAGGGAGCATTTTAGTGAAGTCTTTATAAAATGTGGATAGCAAATTTGCTGAGGAAATGATGCATCCGATGATGTTATGACTTTGAACATGGGTTAAATGACTCAAACTACCATCTCAGAGGACCTTGTTAATTTGAATTAAAAATCAATTAAAGAACTGAGATTTGGAATATTTAGACATATACTCACCCAACAGACAGGAAAGGCTCCTTTGACTCGAGTCTATGAAAAAAAAATGAAAAATTTATTTTAACATAACAACTTGCTGTACACTTAAAAATTGCTTTTGTAGGAATCTGACAGAATTACTTTACGTGTTTGGATGAAAATACACAATTTAGCATCAGTAAAAAGCTAAAAATAATATATGAAGACCTAATCTGGACTAATTCAAATGCTGGCTGGATTAATGCAGAGGCTAAATAAAATGAGACAGACTTGGAATGGGAACGTATAATCTAAATGATACATGAAGATATTAACATTGTTAGTCTAATTCTAATTTGCACTCAATTTTTTTTTTTACAGTAATCTGTTTCTAGAAGTTTTGATATATCTGTTTGTGGTGGCTGTAGTAGTGAGGTAATTTGTAATGTATTTGGTTACATATTGGCTGGATAATTTATTTCCAGTAAATATTCTGCAATGAAGAGAGAAGCAGCATACGGTTCATGGTCATTTATGGGAGGAACACTACAGGGGGCAGGGGGAGTCAGGCCACAGGTTAGGCTCCTCCTGCCTCCTTGGTGCCTCCTAAAAACCAGGTATTTTTTGTATGTCCTCACATAGTAAAGGAGAACTGTAATCCTGGTGTCTGTTTAGTTGTGACATCTTGAGCAAGCCAATTCAAAACCCGTCTGGGGCCTGCTTTGCCCATTATATATTAGGCTAGGATTGCTTCCAGCTAACTTTCTGATTTCATAAATTAACCACATATGCTTTGCAAAAGGTAAATAAATCAGGAAAAGATCCACTTCTAAATATTTCCAAATTAATAATTAAGGAGACCAGCCACTAGTTGTAAACTGGCCACTTTACTTTCACACCAGTTTCTTAAACATATGGTTATGGGGGAAATGGATGCAAATAGTGAGCAGATTTTCATCCAAATCCTGGTGTTGAAAATTTTTAAGAAGCTTTCATACTTTAAAGTATTTTATTTATATATAAATAGTTGTAGGAAAATGGCAGGAAATTTAATTCCACAACAAACATTTAGTGAGCACTAGCGGATTATTTTTACATATTGAAGTGGATAATTGAAGCGACTGTCTTAGAATTAGGCCAAAAAACTTGACTTTTCTATGAATTTAAACAATGAAGGCAATAATCTCTTTTCTCTATTCCATTCTCTGTGTATAAAAAATAGCTTATGAGAAATAGGCCTGGGTCCACTCATGGGCAGAGCTGACATGGTCTCTGCCACACGCCATGACGCCTGGAGTGAACAATCACAGCAGGAAGGGACTCCTTCAGGGAGCGGGCGCCCTACCAACCCCTCTGAACAGCAGCAGGCAGGGAAGAAGCAGAGGAAACCGATAGTTGGTGTTAAGAGTTGGAGGTGTATATTTACGCAACCTTTTCCTTTCCTGAATTCCAATATTATCCATACCTCCATGTAAATTATTTGCCATATTGTGTGTTTGTTTTTCCCGTACATTTAAGATATGGATAAGTAAACAGAATTAAGGGAAAAAAGTTGAAGATAAATAGTGAAATATGTTTGGATATGCCTGTTTTTCTAAGACATGACCAGTGCTAAATGATCCAAAGAAATTTCCTTGAAGAAATGAGAGGGTTCTTTATAATGTGGTGCCGGAGACTATTTACTTATTGGGACTGTCAACATCGTGACAATATCACTTCTCCCTTATTTCCCATCTAATAACACTTGAAAAACATATAACATGTGGGTATTAATGGGACCCCTTCTCTCTATACTCGCCAACAATTTCAGCCTAACATATTCCAGACTTAGCGTACGTGTGTGATTCGTGGGTGAGGTGCTAGCCTCCAGCCTCCTAGCTCCCCCCTCCCACTGCCTACGCTGTCCCCCTCGCCTCTCACTGCTGCATGCTTCTTAGTGGCAATGAATAATATGGTGAAAGAATTCCGAAACACTTAATATCTGACTCGTCTCTTTTTCATCCTCCACATCTCAGTTAGCAATGTTCCGTCAACTCTTCCTTTATGTGACTTCCACATCCCCCTCTGTACTCGATTCCCAGCCTAGTTCTCATTCCTTACCCCAGCCTAGCCTGTCTCTCCAAATGTAAACCCTCTGCTCACAGTTGCATCCAACTCGACACGCTGGTCTCGCACTAAGCTTCCTTCAGTGCTGCCCCCTGCACCATTTGTTTAAGGACTGCATCATACCGCTTTCCTTAAGGATCATAAACAACAAGAGTAAAAGCAGGACCCCCCACTTTTGCCTTCCCTGTGTGATTACTAAAATGCTGAGTTCAGAATGTGTTTGAAGCAGTATTTATGGATTGATTTTCCTTTTTTCTGAAGGTTTCAGACAAGCAGCTGTTGGATTGGAGTGTATAGGGGAAAATGTTGCCACACTGATCCCAGTGGTTAATAAGGTTAGTCTTACTAACTAGTTAGTTGTCTTCTTCGACTTTTAGCATTTCACTCACCACTTCAACCGTCTCCTCCCAAATGAGCTATAGAAGACTTAAGAAGACTGAAGACTTAAGAGAATTCAAAGTTTTCAAAATGACATAGGACTGAGAGTTCTGACTGATGTTCTACAAATCAGGGGTTTGCAGACTCTTGCCTATGGGCCCAGTCCCACTCACCACCTGATTTTATACAACCCACAAGCTGAGAATGCTTTTTACATTTTTAAATGGTTGGAAAAGATCAAAGGAATAATAATATTTTCTGACACGTGAAAATTATGTGAACTTCAAATTTCAGTGTCCATAAATAAATTCATTGGGACACAGTCATGCTTATTCATTTACATATTGTTTAAGGCTGCTTTTGTGCTAAAGCAGCAAGTTGAGTGGTTGTAACAGGGACTGTATGTCCATGATCTTAAGATATTTCTATATGGTCTTTACAGAAGAAAGTGTGCCATCGCATGCAATATGATTATATTATTGGGAGGAATTAGAAACAACCTCTCAAAATAGGCATTCTTTGTTTTAATATATATCAAAATATTCTCCCAGACTTCGAAGTTCAGAATAATTTGAATTCCTTCTCTACACCACGAATCCAGTCTCTGACCCTACTGACAGATTAATTCCCCTAAAATGCTATTTTCATGTCCCTACTTTTCTTGACAATTTCAATAACCTTAGGATGATGCCCAAACTGTTTAGCTTGTCATTTGAAAGCTCTTCACAAACATGCCTCACACCAGCTTTCCATGCTGTTTTTGATCACTTCTCTTACTAACCACTTCATTCTGGGAAACTTGTCTATTTATTGCCCAAACAAATCTGGGTTAGCTTTGCTTTGGTGTCTTTAAGCACTCTATTTCTATACCAGAATACTGTTTTTTCTTTCCTTTCCCTATGCATGATCTGGTTATCTTTTGAGCTTATCTCAATCGAGCTCCTTCATGAAGCGAATCCTGAAACCTTCATCTTACAGTGACAGTCCTATCTCTGAGCTTCCAATACTTACTATCTCCATCATTATGATGTATTCTCAGGACAATAGTCCTGGGTTAAAAGGCTAACTTACAGTTTCATTCAGACTGGTAAGAACGTTAAACTTTCACCTCTGCCTAGGCAAAAAACTCCTGACAGTTCTGTGTTAACCCTTCTAATGGGTGATCCCATGTGGGAGGTGCTTGATAATGCTCTATGAGTTGAGCAGAAAGGAAAGATGGTTACTCATTCATCACCCTAAGCCACTGAAGACAAACATAAGTACCAGGACTCCTGAGCGCTGTCAGTGATAAAGTAGAGCATGACATCTTGGTGGGGAGTCACCACCAGGCCAGCCCACCTCATGTCTCATCCTCAAAATGATGACACACTGCAGAGGAAAGTGACAACTGGCCCATGTTGAACGATGCTCTGCTTTGTAACCAACTGCTCAGTCATGGTTCATTACATGGAGTCAACTTCCATAGCTTTGAGATGGTTCAGAGATTCTTAGATTTTTATCACTAATTATATAGCAAACATCATAGCCAACTCAAAGGCCTGCTGTGAAGACTATGAGAATATGTATTCAGAGTGACTAGCACAGATCCTGGCACAGAGTGGACCCTGATGGCCATGATTATGCCAAAGATAGGTGGTAACTCTAAGAGCAGAAACTGCTTGAATATATGAAAAGCTCACTTTTGTTATTTTAGTCCTGAAAAGTGAAAAAAAACATGTAAAAGAAGAAAAACAGTAGGAGAAACATCCCTTTGGAAAAGATTTTTTATCAGTTTAATTCTTAGAATCAGATGATTACATTGTGATATGCCCAGAGAGAAATTTTCTGAGTTTTTAATAAGGTAATTGTTTTGCAAAGAAAAGGACTGATTTTTATCTTCCCTAAGATTTACTTTCAACATGAAATAAGTAGTGAATTTAATAATGCTTCATGCAGGACTCACCAGAATTAGGAGTAGAATAAGATTAACAAACCATAGCCTTCAGGAAAATAAGGCACGATAAAGATATAAAAAAGAATGCAAAATGAAGATCAATATTCGGGGCTAAAGGATTTATAATACTTTGTATTTAACAACAACAACAGAAAAACTAAATTGTATTTACTAAGGGCCAGACATTATTCAAAATGCTTTATAAACATTAATTTATTTAAACGTCATGGTACCCACTGAGGTAGATCTCATTTTACAGATGAGGAATCGGATACCCAAAGATGCTAAGTACATTGCCTAAGGTCACACAGCTAACAAGTGGTTGAGCTAGGATTTGAGTTTAAGCATTCTGGCTCCCAAGTTTATGTGCTGTATGGCACATGTTGTGTTGCCTCTCATCAATTTATTTTGTTTTTTGTTTGTTTTGTTTTTCTTATACGTGCCTTATGGCACTGTCACATTTCCTCTCTTTATACTTTCTGTGCTCTACTGAGAAATGTCATCTAGTTTCAGATTGAGTTGACATGCTGGATATTCCCAAACTTACGTCTCTAGCATCACTCTATTTATGTCTCGTGGCCATAGCTGCCCACCATACATCTCCAATCATAGGTGCCTTTCACTGAACATGTTCCGAACCAAATTCATTGTCTTCCTC